ACAATGATAAATATGATATCTCCGCCCATATGAACTTGCGTCTATAGTCTTCTGATAATTTAATTACCATATTATCAAGTATATTCTTTGTATCACTTCGATAGTACTCTTCAAAGGTTCGTCTCCATCCTGGATCATTATGTGAATGAGGCACAACGAATACCCTTAACTTATTATTTGCATTCCATCGCCCTTTAGTTATCTTGACATCCCAACCTTGTTTCCATGCACCTCCATCTATATTATCGAATTGTAATTTATCATATAAATCCCACATCTAAAAATTAAATTTTATTATTTGTTTAAATACTTAAATTAACACTCAAAATTAAAATTTCTTAAATTTATATGAATAAATAAATTATAATTTATAGTAACAGAATATATAAGTAAACATTTATTTTAAATTAACATCGTGTTTATTTTAACTATACAAAACATTCAATAACTTTTATTAGTAATATAGAATAATGCTAATATTGTTTGTAGCTATAATCTACAGTGATGTATTTAAATTTTGATTAAAAATATATTGTTATCTAATAACAAATCAAAGATTTTAATATCAAGAAGTCCTATATAGCATTAATATATTTATTACACTACAAATTTATAAAGGTCCTCCTTTAAATATTTTTAATAATGTTTTATACAGCTTGAATAATTTATCTTACAGTGGCATATTTATGAGGAGGAGGGTTCCTTGAGTTCAACCTCCCACCCAGAACAAAAAAAACATGTATCTATGCATCAACGCATCATAGAAGTTTTTAATTAAAGTATTATTTATAAATCATAAGAAAATATCTGACCAGTATGTGTGTACAGAGTTTTTGATAAACAAATTATAAAAATATTGTCCAAAATCCACAAAAACTATAATAGTAAAGCTATTACACCTTTTTAAATTTAAAATTTGAAATGGAAAAAAATATAAACTAAAAGATGGCGTTATAATTATTTTATTTGAAAAATTATTATACTGATACTCTAATAGATGTACCTAATTACACTAAAAACTAATTTTACTAAAATTGTGACATTTTTAATAATTTATAAAATAATAATGTTTGAATGTATTAATTTTATCTTTCTATTTCTTGTTTCATTTCTAGCTTTATTATATGATTTTTAAAAATTTAACACTCCCCCTCCCCTCACCATAAAAATAAATAAAATTATTGAAAATTTGCCACTGTTATCTTATAATAAACAATCTATATTTACCATAAATAATTAAATTATATTAAAACTGCATAAATTAAAATAAGGAATTATATATTTTACAAAAATTTTTTAAATTAGTTTACAAGAGAAACTTGATTTTATAGTCGCTACAATATTTTAAATTAAAAAAAAAATACTAAAATTATCAATTTAATCCAAAGATAACTTTGCTTACTAACAAGTAAATTGTTTGTAAATGGTATCTAAGTTGAGAATTAATGCAGTTTATATTGCTGTTTCATGGCCTGAATATTATATAAAAATCTCATTTTTAACATATTGGATTTACTGTGTACTAAATAGGTAATTCTAAAATGATAATAATAACTTACATTAATTTTTGGGTTACATACTCCACTTGATAAATATGTGTCTTCAAAATTATCTTGTGATGCAGACTGAAAGCATGAAATTAAACATGAAGATATTATTGAAAAATATAATTAAAGCAGTAATGTAATATATAAAATGGTACACTACAATATGTAGTAGATGCTTTAATAATTATCCTATAGGTCTATAATAATTAAACTTTACCACAGATGAATCAGGTGTTTCTGCAGGTTCATGATTTAAATCACCGTATTCCAAATCATTTATATTTTGTTTATCGAATGTATATAACTGTGATTGTAACTTATCTACGGAAGAAACTGGAGTTTTCACTGTTTCAAACTGCTAAAATATAATGTATATTAAATAAATATAAAAAATAGCAATACAACAATCTATGAACTATTGGAAACTTACAGAGCAAATACTTTGATTCTCCAAAAGAAAATATAAAATGAAACATATAATTAAAACTATAAGTAAAAGTACAAAAATAAACCTTTTTTTAAAGTTCATTTTTATTTTTGAGTTCTTTAAATCATGGTACGTAACTAATTTTCCACAATATTTTAAATGGAAATGTTTAATAGATAGTGTTATAAAATAGGTGTAAAATAATGTAAATAATGAAAAACTTGTTTAAATATACGATTGTTACTATAGTAAATAACAATTCATGGCGTTAATACAACGTAGCTTATGCTTTATCAAATTATAAGCTTATTTTATCACTTTTCTTATCATATTTTGAGTTTTATTGAAAACAACAACAATGAAAACTTTGAATAATATTTAATACATTTTCATGATATTAAATACAAAGGTAATTTATAGTAAGTCCAGTGCTCGACTTTTGGGGGGGACGCTAGGGGACGGAGTATCCCAACTAATTTTTTAGAAATTTTAGCGTACCTCTACTTATCTTCTATTATTATTTATCAGTGTTACATTATCACAACGGTTGCCTTATCACATAATAATTATTAACAAAATCTCCGGCTCTACCGGAATCCGAACAGCATGTATATGTTTACACATGTTGTTTTTAATACTGTTGTCATAACATGTGCATGAAAACATTGAAAACAGATGAACACAACATTCACATACAAGTTACAACAGAAATTACCTTGCAAGAACATTGTTCATTTTATTGAATTATTAAATAATCTAATTCTACTGAATTAGATTCCTCAGACCAAGTATCATCTGATATTTTGATGATATTATAATTATTTTTTAGAGCAGAGCGATGTCGAATGATGTTGATGCAATAAATGTAGATCTTCAGGTCAAGCGATTTGCTCAGAATCCTAATAAATCTTTAAATCCTATTATTTTATGTAAAATACAAGGAACTGAGTATTTCCCATTAGATAAAGATGATTTCTTGATGATTATATTAACTGAAACACAAAAGGCTATTCTTGAGAAGTTCAGTAGTGAAAAATTATGTATAGATTCTACTCACTGCACAAACCAATAAAATTTTAATTTAACAACTATTATTGTAATTGACGAATTCGGTGAAGGATACCTTGCTGCTTTTTGTATAAGTTCAAAGATTGATAATGTGCACATAACTGGTTTTTTTTTTTAAATAAAGGAAATTACTGGTTTTCTCACCCCTAATGTATTTATGAACGATGATGCTCCTGCATTCTGGAATGCATGGATTAAAATTATGTCCCCTATTCCTAAATTTCATCTTTTATGTAAGTGGCATGCTAATAATAATTGACGCAAAAATTTAAAAAAAATTGATGGTTTGCAAACTACAAAAGCTTATATTTATAAAACCCTTCGTGTCCTACTAGACGAATCAGATGTAACAGAGTTTGAAAATGTATTAAGTTCTTTTCTGTGCAAGTTAGAAGAAGAGCCTGTAATGCATAATTTCAAGGTATACTTATTGTAAACATATATGTTTACCGGAAAAAGCTGTGGGCTGCATTCTATCGACGTCAGGCTATGCTCAATAGAAATGTGGCTTTAGAAGCTTTTCATAAAACTTTGAAGCATGTATATCTGAAAAGAAAGAAAAATCAACGGCTTGATGTTCTATTGTGGTATTTACTAAAAGTAATGCAAGATAAAAATTTTGAACAACTTGTTAAACTATGTAATGGTGGTAAAGTTACTCATTTTGTAAATGCGATTAATAGTCGACATCGCTCTGTTCTAAAAAGTAATTATAATATTATCAAAATATCAGATGATACTTGGTCTGAGGAATCTAATTCATTAGAATTAGATTATTCAATAATTCAACAAAATGAACCATGTTCTTGCAAGGTAATTTGTGTTGTACCTATGTGAATGTTGTGTTCATCTGTTTTCATGCGCATGTTGTGACTACAGTATTAAAAACATGTGTAAACATATACATTGTTCATGTTTACAAATTATGAGTAGGTAGTATTTTGTTATTGTCGACTGGTTGTTATGGTTTATAAGATACCTATCAGTATTTTACTATGCAATATATATATATACATTCAAGATCTATAAAGTTCTACCTGTTTAATCTTGAATACTCAACACTAGATTAAAGATTTACGCATCTCAATAACATTCATTGTAGTTACAAGGATTTGTAGTTTTTCAGTTTTTACTACAATACGCACGGCTAAATCCACCTAGGTACTTGAAATTAAATAGATAGGTACTTATAAGAAGTTAAACAAGTAATTGAAATAGGATTAAACACACTCCTTATAAGTCATTGACCATTGTAGTATATTATATTACATTTGTATTTATTTTTATAATTTAATTTCTAATTGTCTTCAGACTTAACTATAATAATTTTTTCCACTTTTATTGATTTAGGTACCTTGATACCTAATATTTAATTATGATTATTATATAAGTATTTATAGTTTTATAATTTGCTTTACAAAAAAAGTAGGTGTTCACGAAGATATTAATAGTACAAAATTGAAAAATATTTAGTACAGTATAATGTTTACTTTTAAAAAATCAATAAATAAATATGCTATTCTTCTATCCACTTATCTCCATAGTCTTTGTAGTCAATATCCTTCGCTTAAGTACTATTTGTTTTGAAGTGCTAACCACCGGGCGACTTTTTCAACCACGTCTCCATGTCTCCTGACTCCTTTTTAGGTATTTCACGTTTACTTGCTGTATATATAAATATATTACATAAGTTGTATAATTACTTATTTTAGATAAATTTAAAAAGGAAGGTACGATTTGTATATTTTAAGGAAGATTTAACTTCTATACCTACAGTTATTAAACTTTTAATTAGACATAACCGTTTAAGTATAGCACTATAAAGGTAGCGGGTATATGCACACTGTGTTATTTTAGCTTTATACAAAAAAGTTCAATAATTAATATACATTTATTATTATATAATATTGACAATATTGTGTAAACTGTACACAGTAAAAATTGATACATCAGTATAATAATACATAAATGGAAGTTATTGTATTGATTAATTTAACATTCAAATTGTAAAAGAAACTAATACTTTGTTAGTTATTCTAAATTATTCAACATTACTATTTCTTTTTTTCCATTTACTTTTTTCGATTTTCATTGGGCGACTTCCGACATATTTTCCTGAAATCATTAACTTTAAAATTAATTTTAATCATTTATTTTAATTACATTATTTAATTAACTTCTTATTCTTAATAATGTCCTAAACTAATATAATTATGTACTGTATTATATTTAAACACTTATTATTGATGTCATATTTAGGCGTTTATAGCAATTAGTAAGTACGTACTTATATAATATACACAAATAGTTTATAATATTCTATTATAGACATTAAACATAGTTATTTTATGTCTAATTTTATTTTTCTATAATACATAATTTTTTATTTTTATACATTACCATGTAATTCTTTGATAGCTCGTAAATAATCCACCGAATTTCCAAATGATACGAATCCATAACAACCACGTGACATGCTTGTTTCACGATTTTTTACTACATGAGCTTTGATGAATGAAGGATACTGCATAAATGGCATACTCAACATATGGTCATTAACTTCTCTTCCCAAATTTCCCACGAATAAACGAAAGTCATCTGTGTGATAATTTTACATTATATATTCTGCTTATCAGTTATCATCGAAAGCAAAAAACAAATAATTTACAAGTAGGTATTTACTATTAATAAGGTTAAGGTATACAGTAGTTTATTTATTATTTTTAATTATATAAATACAGGTGGGTACAAATAAAAATATAATATTTGCTTATACATTTAATATTAGGTTATGGGTAGTCTCAAAAGTATAGTAAGGAAGAAGGGAATAGATCAAATTAAAGTTTAAGTAGATATATTTATATCCATAAAAAGTATGTTTATTATTTAACATTTGAGAAATTGAAATCAGTCTTATTTTGAGTCCAACAAAAAATAGTGCCCAGAAATTTTTATTTAATATTATATATACTTTTAATATATGCAAGTGTTCACGTTAATGCGCCCAGTAATAATAACTAATAAGTTAAATAATAATTAATTTTAAATAGGAATAAAATAATCTTATGAAATTCTCACCATTTGACCATTGCGCCAAAGTTGGATCGTACCAAACTTTTCCAGCGGCCTTACGATAGAATTTTTTTTGTTTTGTACCGAATACTTTGGAAGACGATGATGCACACCCAGCAGCCGCAATCGCTATGTGCGCTTTGTTATTTAATTCTCTCTCGCCTATCAAAGACTTATTTTTAGTCCTAAACAAAATTATATTATATTTGCTTAAAAAGATTAACATGGTTATTATTGTATGATAAATAAAATATATGTTGTATAAAGAAGTAAATACTTATATTTTCTTACTTAGAAATTAAAGTAGACACGCGTTGATTTTGTAATAGTGAATCGATTTCTTTACACAAAGTAATATTCAAGGGAGATTGTTGAAAACGATAAAAATAATTTTCTATTTTTTTTAAACAATTTTTTAGTTTTATTAACGTTATTAACATCATTGTTTATACCAATATCTTGTTCAAATCTAAATGAACATATATTCAATTTAATATAGATCAATATGCAAAGGTATTTAATACTTAAATGTTAATACGTAATAATTAATAAATTTGTGAATGAAAAAGTGATTGTTGATTGCGTGTGTAGAGAGAGGTAGCCCCTTGTGGTATTTCAAGGTGAATTATAGGTAATTTTTAAATTGCCTCTCTCTTTGATATAGAACTTAAGATACATCATTGATTTGAGACAAACAATTTTTTTTAATTAAAATATTTTCATAATTATTTAATAAAAATTAATTAGAGTCCAAATATTTATAGTTAGAAAGTGATAATAACATGTATATTTATTATTTATTATAATTAGTATCATGGGATCAAAATGTATAAATAAATGTTTGAAAATGTTTAATCATTTATATCCATTATATTATATTATTCCTACTTAAATTGTATTTTATTTTATGCAAAACTTAACTTACAATACAAGTATCAGTTTCTAGATGTCAGTTAATTACTTATTACATATTTATACTAACTATTACAACAAGTTTTATTTATAAAAATAACCCTATGTTCTAATGGTTATCACTCTCTATAAGCAAGTTTGAAAAATATAAATATTAAACTGTATATACATAGATATAGATTTAAAAGTAAAAATTACTTGTTCATTTCTTCTTCTATTAATTTCATTTTTTTTAAATAATTAGTCATGATTTGGTATAACTGCTTAAAAAAAACAACAAAAACTATAAGTAAGTACTCGTAGTAAACAAATTTTTGGACAATTAAAAGTTTCAAAAATGTCTTTAAATATTCACTGTTTACTGTTTAGTGAAAATGTATTATGCAATATGATATTAATAACTGTTTTACATAGATATAGTTAAATTATATAATTTATATTATATCCATGGCCCTAATTATAGGTACCTAATCGTTTACAGCGGTAGAAAATAAACATAACCATGGTAAACAAAACGTTTATTTTAATTAATTACGAATAGGTATCTAATAAGGGCCACGGATATAATATAAATTATATAATTTATCTACCTAGGTAGGCGAATAAAATGAACACTTGTGTCACTCGGTATAACTGTATAAGTAGACATATTATGATATTAGGTATACTGAATACTTATATCATATAGTATAGTATTTTATTTTATTTTCCAAAAAGTTTATTTTTTAATCATGAAATTATTAATTTAGATACTAATATATTTGTAACTTATACACATGGTCACAACTATTGTATCATAATATATTAATTACAATTTATAATAATAGAATAACAAATATGTTTATTAATATATAGATAGTTATATTTCATAAAAAACAAATTTTATATAAATTAAGAACTTTTATATCATATAATTAAATTAAATGAAAAATAAAACAAAATTGTTAAAAAGTTGCTGAAGTCATCCTATTATCGCGGTGTACTCTAGATCTAGATAATGTTAAAATTATTTATTAATTTTTCTTAAAAATAGAAACAATCTGACAGAACCTTGCAGTTTACATGTTTATCCATAAATCTCATGCATTTATATTCCTATAAACTAAAAAATCGAGCGCTGTTTTACATGAAACTTAGTTAACTTACTATAGATACCTGAAAGAACAGCTGTCTGATAAATATAACAGTTAAATAGCTTGTGGTTTTTCATCGTTTCGTCAGCACACTATCCGCTGAGTTTTTACAAGGAGCCACCACAAAGTTCTCCGCAGATAAGTCAACTCAAAAACTCTCAGACAAGCTGTTGCAAATGATCTCCAACACGTTCATCTCAGCAAACGGTGCAATAAGTAATGACTGACACGTTAGGAAACGGATATTGTCAGGTGACGATTCGACATGAAAATATATGTATATGTGATAATGGGGACATGGGGTGATGAAATAAGAGATTGATTTCTTAACTATTATAAAGGTAATAGTAGAAAATTCATCAAGTCACTTAATATAAATTTTACAGGAGAACTAAATTGTACATTGTTTGACTAAGTCGGAAAATTAGTTATTTCTGTTGTGGAAAACGTTTATGGGTTTATGTTATAATCCGTTGGCGAGGGCTGTACAATTCATTCAAGATTTAAAATCCTTTTTGTACAAAACACGCCTACTATTTTTGCTTATACAACATCACTTACTTAAAGCTTAAAGGTAAAAATATTATCTATTCATCTGTGTTTATTCGTGGAATTATTACAATATTATATTTTTTCAGTAAATTCTGAGTACGTAAAATATACTTGTTTAAATATTTTTAAAGCTTAGGTACTTAAAAATTAAAGTTTCGTGAAAAATCCACAAGAAGTATTAGTATAAGTACTGATCTAATTAGTAAAGTTCACTATACTACATCGGAACTACTAAATAAAAATTAATTATGACGTATGTTAATTTAACATTGTTATTTGTTAATAAGTCATGGAGACAACACGTGCGGATAGAATTCTATTAAAAATCTAAAATACAATATATTTTCTAATTTGTGAGAAAAATTGTTGGAAGGATTTAAGGTCGGAACTATACATGGCGTATTCCGAAAGACTATAGCTATATAAGGCGTATCCGCTGAGCGTATTTTACCGTGTATATTTGAAATTTGTACAATATTTAAAAAAAAAATCATAAAATTTTGGACGTTTTCTGTCACCAGTATAGCCCACCCTAATTTAAAACGATGTAAAATTAGGAGTTTGTGTTTTTATTACTTCGGCGTTCGTCCGCCAAAACGTAAGCCGACCGGCGTTTTCCGCCGTGGATGAAAACGTGACGTATTACAACCGTCATGTATAGCTACTTTGATATAAGAGAATGAATCTTGAACTCGACGGAAAATGCCTCGGAATATGCCGTGTATAGCCATGGACCCTCGGCCTTAAATTTTACATTGTTTTAAATTAGGATGGACTATATTGGTGACAGAAAACGTCGCGTTTATACTATAGTTTTATGATTTTTTTTTAGATATTATACAAATGTCAAATATACGCGGCAGAATACGCTCTAAGAATACGCTTTGTATAGCTAGTCCATCGGAAGACGCCGTGAATAGCACCGTTCTAAGTCATTCTTGTTTCCGGTTGTTTGCAATTCAAGCAATTAAAATTGAAGATAAGAGTACGAATTCACTGATTTGTTCATTCCGGACGAATCGAAGTAAACAATCGATTTAATAATATTCACTATATCGGTTACCATTCTCGGAGATAATGTAGTTTATCAGCCACAAACAGTTTTATATATTTTTTCGGCCGTTTGGTAATACCCTACGTAGTATGGACATGTTGTATACGTCTGTAGTTAGAAGTAGATCTATAGTGGGGTCGGCGAATCGATTACCAGCAATAATATTTTGACATTGTTTAATATACCTAAATCTTATCACGTGTCGTCATTACGGCGGTATGTTGTCACGGAGTCACGCGAAATTTAATGACACGAGTCTAATCACGACCTACAGTACATATTATATCACGATACATCACCATATAGTTCGATCGATCGAACGAATTATTCTAATATAATATCAAATCATCTGTGAAGCGTTTATTATTATTCAATTAGTTTTGGTATAGCATGGATCGAGTGTTCGATGTGAGTATAATATTTAAAAAAATATTTGGTGCTATAGTAGATAGGTAGGTATACAAATAATCAACAGTAAGAGGTAACATAGTGTAAACACGATATATACTATAATAAACTGCGTATTATTGAATAATTAATTAAAAAGTTGAGTGTTAAATGATTTAATTAAATTTGTATTCATAAAAAACTGCACTTATCATCAAAGTTAATAATTAAAACGTAACATATTTACATTACCTATGCTTCTTCAAAATAATAATTAACTTTTTTTGTTTTAAGAACCATAGTTTTGTGCTAGTTATGTTAATAAATAATAATAACGAGATAGGTGGTTTTTAGTTACGATCATTGTACTTTTTTAGGTGAACTCGATACAGCTATAAATATCTTATCTTTAAAATTGATAACGACAATTTTAAATTTATTACTTTCAGTTACATGTATAATATTATGGTATGTATTTATCGAAGGAATTAGGTATATATTTATTCATAATATGCGTACAAAACTATAAAAAAAAAAAAATATAAAAACTATTCGTTGTATTTGTACAAATATTTTTAGACTTGAAAAACCTAAGAATGATAAAAATAAGTTAAAATTCTGTTTTATTTATAATTTTAGTTTATGATTATTTAGATAGGTATATTCCGTCTCAATATGATAAATAAAGAAATAAAATTAATTCTACGTCAAACACGACGTATCTACTACTTTGTAATTAAGGTGTAATAAAAATGTTAGATTAATATTTTTGGAATTTTAAATGTTTGTTCTATGTAATTCAGGAATGCCATTCAACGCTAGTATTCAAATAAAAATAATGTCGATAATTTAATTTATTTTTGTAGTGAGGAGAGAGATGCTTTAAAAATGTCAAATGAAATGTAAATAATAATAATAACATTGTGTATTTACGATGGTTGACGCCTTTTGTGTTCAAAGCATTTGCGGTATGTCCGGTGTCCGACGTGTTCCCGCGTTTTCTGCTGCACCAAACACCGGGTGCAGCATGAACGGCGCGTACATGTCGCGGTTCCAGGGGGGCCGGTGATCAGGCGTCGCTTCCGGTCGTCGCATGCGGTGCAGCAGCCTGCAGTAAAACACAAGACGACCCATGTCGGCGGCCCTTCCCCCGCCAATTGTCGGAAGAGGTTGCACGTGGCCATCACCCCGACCGCAGCGCAGTCCATCAGCAGCGGTTTGCGAATTATGGAACAGCGGCATCACCGCCGGGTCGAGGAGCTTCGCCGGACCGAAGAACAGCGCCGGACCGTGGAACAGCGCGCGGTGATGATAGAGACGTGCGCCCGGAACATACTCAAGGCCCGTCGATCCAGCCTCACCACCATAAGACACCTGCGACCGGTGGCCGAAAGCAGTCCCGCGGTTCCACTGCCGCCGCCGTGCACGCCGTACACCACGACCACGGACGTGGCCGAGTCTGCGATCACGCCCGTCGAGTGGTCGGTAGTCGTTTCGTCGGTGGGCAGCCCGCCGAGCTTTTACCAGACGCCGATGCAGACGCCAACGCAAACGCCAACGCAAAAGATCCCGGACACACCGTCGTTACAAAAGCTTACAGAAACGCCGTTACAAACGCTTTCGGACACGCCGTTGCAATCGTTGCCGGACACGCCTTTGGAAACGCTCTCAGACACGCCTGTCAACGGCAAACCCGTGTACGACGGAGGAAATGTTAAGCGCGTACCGTCAGGCGGTGGTTCAACGCAAAAAGGTGTGTATTTTATTATCCGTCTTATGGGTTAATATTTACCGCACAATTTTTTGAAAGTTACAAAATATACAAAATTAAATAGTTTGAGTTTTCTCATAAACATTATTCAAATGTATTATTCTATAAACCGTACGGTTTGTAATTTGTATTGATATTCGGCAACAAAATCGATTTAAAAAAAAAATAATGGTCCTTCTTACCCTTAGTTCATGGTTTAATTATGATATTTTTTTTCAATTTAACAGTTTCTGTATGCCAGGTGAACTGAATGGGTTAACTTAATTTTTTTCTTCAAACGTTTTAAAATTATAAAAATTGTGCTAAGAAATGCTTTAAGGCAAAAAAAAAATAATAACTTTAAGATAATGTGAATTTATGATTTCCAATAATTTACTTGAAATGATAGATAATAATCATCAAATTGGCATTCGATAGTTAAAAATTAAAATCTATAACATCTAAAACTTGTAACAGGATTTTTCTGGTCGAACATGGCTCGTCGCTTCCGGTTAGCGCTGAGGCCTGCCAAACCCAAAGTCGTCGAGAACAACTACAGTTCGTCGACGCCTGTATCAGTAAACGTAGACTGCATGGTTAATCCGTATGGCAACATCCAACCGAGGCGACCTATCTGTAACAACGACTCGTTGATGACACCCGTCCATCCCAGGCCGTCGCTTGAGGCCATCCGCAAGGCCCATGAAGAAGCGAGCAAGGCCTTTAATAAGTTCATGACCGATTAAAGTATGTTGTCTGATAAGTGCAACAGACACACTTCACTTAGTGTCAAGTAATTTTTTTGTATACACATATATTATGTTATCATTCTATTGATTTTTATATATTTTTATTTTAGTTTTAGACTTGGGGAATTAATTGAATTTTTTATTTATAAATCGTTCATATTACAATTCATGGACTTGTTGTGTTTTTTACTCACTTCTGTATTTTTATCCGTAATGTACTAAATATAATAATAATTGTGTTTATATGTTATAAAAATAAAATTTAAAAACTTGTAAATTGTCTGTACGAGTTTCTCGTTTTAATTAATCATTATCATGTTGGACGTTTCTTAGTGTGATATTTAAATATAGATGAATTAATATTATAATATTGTAAATGTTATTTCATTACTAGTCGGATACTGTCGGGAGTTAACTTCTGTTTCTATCCTTGAATATATGTTATGAGTTAGGCAAATTTAATTTAATTTAATTTTTTTCATTTGTATTTAATATTTAAGAAAAAATACTTACAACGTACATAACTTTAAAATAATTACGTATAATAAATAAAATTGTGATAAAAAAAAAAAAAAAATAAAAACAAATATATGGATTATGGATTTTAATGTATGTAGATAACTGCAAATTCGACATCATACTAAACGGATTTACAATTTTGTTTGTAATGCACTCGACTAAATTAGAAAAAATACTTACATGAAAGACAAAAGTTATAAATATAAATATTCTTACACTATTAATATTGTAATAAAGTATACAATATATTATCATCGATTATAAATACTAGTAATTTTATTACAGTCAATCATAAAAATGATAAAATATACAAAATATGCAACATAATAAAATAATATTATGTGACGACGATAGTGTAGCCTACTTATAACGCCGCATAATCCATGGTTAACGATTGAATTATTAATGTAATATCATTGGCAAAATCGTTATTACTAAAAACTGCCAACTGGTATCTGGAAGTCGATAATGTATTTACATTGTATTTATATTTTTAATTGGCAGTGTAATAGTATATGTATTACTTTTACGTATTACTGACGTACAGTCAATCAGTAATACACCGACGACCGACATACTGTAATCGCACACCGCATCAAATTCAAAAGTTTTATTGAAGATTATGTTAAAGATCAAGAGTTACTTGCTAAATTGTGAAGGTTATCCGATATAATAAAAATAATTTAAAATATTTCAAAAGAAGGATAATCTTTAGGTATGTTAAACAATGTTACTTTAAAAATTGTTTTGATTTTAATTACATAGCTGAATAAATATAATCGTTTAATGTTTTATACATTATATAGGTAACCTGATTTATTACATACTATATAATTGTTTAAATACAGTAAAGCCAGTAAAGGTTATGGTATTTAGGCTTACTGAAAATCTTTTACACATTGATAGTATAGAATGTATAATATAGTTATAGGTAGTAAATACCTATAGTCTGATTTTCATTTCTCATTTTATTATTATTTAAATTTATTAATATGAAATGTTTCATATTATGTTTATAATATTAAAAAATCAAACAAATAGTAACAAGAAATAACAATATTGCGTGTTGAATTCATTCGCAAACTTGATTGATTTTTTCAGTACTTCAGTACGAGTTTATGTTTACCTATGTTTGCCTTAAAACGTTAATAAAATACACACTGTTACTAAGCAGTTAAATGGTGTCAAAATATAGTACGCGAATGTTTCTTATTGCATTGAAAAAAAAATTTTTTTGAAGGTTAGTATTAAATATAATATAATTTTAAGTGAATTATTATCATTACAGAATTACCTATATTAGATTGATGGTGTGGCTGTGTAGGTGGTAGAAAAGTAGCACGATTATTTTTTTTTATGTGTGATTATATTTGTTTTTACGATTTAAAAATTTCTTCGAGAGATTGTACTAGGTTATTTAATATTTTAAAATAGACTAATTATCAGACGATAAATGTGGCCCGGAAATGCATATTATTAACTTATAACTCCAAAATTAAAGATTGGCTCGTACTATTATTATACTATCCGTGTCGATAAAAATTATAAATACCTCAAGAACCGCATATATGATTTATTTTTATCTGTTTTTCTTATTTTGTCCTAAATTATAGTTTTAACTTTATTATATTAAATATCATTTAAGAATTGCTCGTTGAATCGATACATTGGTTATGTTGATGTGAACTTTAATTAACTGAATGACAATAGTGTTATAGTAAGTATTATTTTATATTGCAATTTTTCTTTAAAGTATGTACAAAGTATATTAATTTTTTGAAAATTTTTAATAATTAAATATAACATTTAAAAATACTAAATGAGTTATAATAGTTTATATTTTTATAAAAATTAAAATTTGTGTTGTTTAGGTAGTTCATAGTTTAATTATTTTTATATTTTTCTAATAGTAAAAATATTTAACGTATTATAATTCATAATAAGATTTTTGTTATTTATTTTAAACATTAACATTTTTATATATATATATATATATATATATATATATATATAGCAAATTAAATAAAACATTTAATATGACAATAACACAAGTAACATTATGATTCTTTATTTTTACCTCGGAATTTATTTATACCATTTAAATTTATAAACATTTTTGATTAACAATAATATAAATTATTTTTTGATTAATGTAATTTTTTTTTAAATAATTTTATTTATTACTATAATGAAAATGATGATATGTGGAATGATGAGATACTTTTGGTAGCTTATTAAATATTATAGCTGGGTCGAAATATTATCAGGATGATATTGGACTGGTATTTAACATTATTTTTTAGATTCATTATTCATTGAAGGATTTGTAGTTTGGTTTATTTTTAAAATTGAATCGTGCCTTACTACTTGCTTTTTAGTTCAGCTGTATTTTGTTAAAAATTGGTTTTTCATGATTGAATATTTTTTAAAACTGGAAAAAAGACATTTTTTTGTATTTTATATATGGTAAACATTGATATAATACAGCATTCACAGCATAATTTTTACAGTAGAATTTTGTACGTTTATAATCCAAGTAGCATATGAATTATCGTGTGGGTAAATAAATCACCTGTAAATAACAAAGTGAATTAATTTTAAATATATTACTGTTATTTAAAATTATATCAAATGGCACAGTCAACAAAAAATAGAGTCATCAAGATTTATTTGGTTGGTACAATAATGTTTCAGTGAAAAATCATATTGGCCTAGTTCCCCTTTTTTAAACTCTATTGGTGTTGTACAATATATATAACGATGCAATAAAGTTTCATCGCTTTCAGTTGTTAGGCATTTTTTTACTTTAGGAATTTTAAAATAGCCAAAAATAAATCTGATTTAAATAGTGTTAATTTTACAAAACTCATAGTATTTTTTCAAGATAATTTGGTTTCTAGTCTATTTTTTCTTTTAATATTTTCACAAAAGCCAAAATAGTTAAGTAAGGTGGTTTTTTCTTCAATAATACTAGTATTTTTTTTCATGTTACATTATTAAACATAATATTAAAAATTATTATTAAACATCATAGGTATATAAAAAGGTGTATTGAAATACTCAACAATCATTACCATTATAGAGTGTCAAGGCCCAAGGGCTAAGTTTTGATTAATATTTATTATCGTGTTAGTTGAATTTATACTATAAATTAGAAGGACATATTCATTGAGCAATACAAATTCATATACGATTTTTTTTAAATAGCATAAAACATTTTACAGAGGGGCCACCCTTATTGGTTAAAATTGTTTTAGAGTGAGCAACATTTGAAATCTTTCCGTGACGGAAGAAGAGTTATCCAGAAAGTGACGTTGAAAGTGCTTTTAAAGTATGATTAATTAATTTTTAAAGATATATTTTAATTTTAAAATCAGTCGGAAGTAATGTGTAAATATAGTATTATTATTTTCAGATATTAAAAAATAATATGGATACAATCAAAACTACCAAAGTTTCTTTTAACATAGTGCCCATTACTGATGATGATAAAAAAGCTGTTATTAATTCCTTAAAACAGTATTTTTTCCGCGATGAACCTTTATGTGCATGTTCAGGATTAATAGAAGAAAATGAATCAGTAATACAACTTGAAAATTTTTGCGTTGATTTATTAAAAGACGGTAAGTTAAAAGATATTAACTGTAATTAATATATTCTTAATAGGTGTATACTATTTAGGAGTAACCGAATTGGTTCCCATTTGGCCGAATTGGTTCCCGTTTAAAAAAGGTATTTTATTAAGTAGAGCCGAATTGGTTCCCGTTTGTGTGCAGGTAATTTTTAATTTTTAATAATTGGTACAAAATATAAATTAGGTAGTATAAAATATAAATATACCTACACGGCTACACTCTATAGTTTATAGCAGTTAGTAAATATTGTTTCAAAAAAAATTCGCGGGCTAAGTTTTTAGTGTCATTTTTATACTTATACACTAAAAAGTAAAAACTAAAGGCAAAGATACATACAAAATCCATTTATTTAAATATGACTTAATATATTATGAAATTACTTTTATTATAATTACTATTATTTATTTTAATTTTAATATTTTGTACCCACACCTATAAGTGATGACTATAGTTGATTCTAAATCAACAATTTAAAATTGTATATATTATATCATTCTTTTTTAAACACACATTAACGCACATTTTCAACCAAGCCTACTTTTTAGTTGACAGTCCTAAGCCTGTAAAATTAAGAAGGAAAATGTGCTTAATTAAACGGGAACCAATTCGGTTCAATTTAATAAAATACCTTTTTCTGATGGAAACCAATTCGGCGGGAATGGTAAATTAGGTCCCAAATGACCTTATCTTGGTAAATTGGGTCCGAGAAAAAAAAATATTGTAGGTAAGTTGAGTCCCAGAAAAAAATATATAAATTAAAATGTATGTGGTTTTTATAATATTATGTTCTCAATAAATAATTTTTGGTATAAATGATTAAAAAATTGTGTACCGGGAAAAAAATATCAATACGCTAAGTAATATAGTACGTAACATTTTACAATATATGGTATAAATGATTAAAAAATTGTGTACCGGGAAAAAAATATCAATATGCTAAGTAATATAGTACTTCAAATTTTACAATATACCTGTCTATACACACATTAACATCATGCGTAGAATTAATTGGTGTCCAGGCGGTGTACCACACTGTATGCAATATGACGTATTATTGTAACAATTATTTAAAAGTAAATTATATAATTATGAAATATTAAAGTTTTAAGTTTTTAATATTTTAGACCTAATTGCGCCAATGATTTATAGCCGGGACCCAACTTACCTATTACCTTTTTATAGCTGGGACCCAACTTACCTACTATCATTTTATACCCGGGACTCAACTTACCGCTTTCAAAACGAACCCAAATTATCGCGGACCCAATTCACCTAGCTCCCAATTCGGCACATGGAGTTGGAGCTTGAGAACCAATTCGGTATCAGCCTACTATTTATTTCCTACCAGAAGTAGGATATTATTGTATGTATAGTTACCTGTCTAAAATAATAATATATTAGATTGTAATGTGTTAAGGTGTTTCACGTTGAGCGATAAAAAAAGGTTAAAATACTTTATCTTATTAATGTAGTTTTAACATAGTTAGTTTAAATTATCCGTCACTAGAAAATTTACTGTATCTTATCGGACCTATTTTTTTTCAGCGATTTTTATTATTTTTATTTCAACTTATATCGAAATTATAAAAAATATGATAGTGTTATAAATCCATAAAATCTTGAGTGGGAACTCTTCTATATATATTCAGTGATATATATTTTAAATGTTAAAAATATAACACTTAAAATTAAAAATATAGTAAGGCACGTGATGTTTATTAAGATAAGATGATTATATTTTATGAACAATAATAAAAAAAAAACTGATTACAAAAAAATGTAGGTGCTATTGTGGCATCGAACATGTTTTTGAATTTGGTTAATATTAATACATAACTTGTGAAAAATGTTTAATCAGTAACAATTTAACATATTTAACTTGACTTTGTTTAAAATATAAATGAACAAAGTAAGTTAAAAGTTAAGTCTTAAAAAAATAAGGAAAAAAGTTAAAAAGTAAGCAAATAATAAAATGTGTATTAAGGTAAATTTTCTTTAAGGAATTTTGTCTATTGTAAACGTACATTTATAAATATATAATTAATATAAATAATAATACGAATTTTATTATTCAGGAATATCGTTTATGGCTGTATCTACAGAAACAGGTGAAATTATGGGTGTCTCGTTGAATAGCGCAACGTGTAGGGATACCAAAATAAAAGAAATCGATGAAGAGAAAAATGATAAAAGTCCAAAATTTAATGATATCATGGATCTTTTAAGCAAAGCTGAGCGAGATATTAATATATTTGAGAAATATCCAAGTATTGATCGTATAATGGAATTAAAGATTATCACAGTAAATGAGGCATATAGAGGACAAGGGGTTTGCAAAACCCTCGTCAACAAGTCTAAGTATAATAAATATAATTTGTTTATAATTATAAATTCTTCATACTTTACCAGAAGTGTGTGTACATTAAAAATTAACTAATAACATTAATTGCTTGACAGTTGCTATTTGATATTAAAAATACCAATGATACCCATAATTGTTGATCGAGTATTCATTTTATATCTTTAGATATTCTTCTTGTTATCAATATTTTATTTGTGTTAATAACAATTAAAAAAAAAAAAAAAAAAAAAAAAAAAAAAACACATTAGTTATAATTGATAGTTTAAATACTATTATCTTGTTAGTGCAGTTATTTAATATTTTAACTCTTCTCCTCAAATCGTTATTCAATAACATTTTTTAATTAAACATTTAGGTATTATAATAAATTCTAATTTTTACAATACCCCTCCCTCTAAAAAAAAAGTACTTTTATGTGATCACAACCAACTAAAAAATCTGTTTTTTTTATTTAAAAAAAATAATAATTTTCATATATTATACCACTGATTATAAATACTACAATCAGTATAATCAATGATTATACATAATAATATATACGAGTAATATACTTTATTAACATTAATTTAATAATATCTTAATTTCTAGAGAGTTGGCATTGGAATTAGGATATCAAATGATTTACGTGGAGTGCAGCAGTACTTTTACTGCAATGGCTGTCGAAAGACTTGGATTTCAATGCATATATTCGTTTCCTTATTCAGATTACGTGAACGATCAAGGCGAAGTAATATTCAAGACACAGCCTCCTCATAAATACCTCAAAGTCAATGTATTACTTCTTTAAAATATTTTATATTTATTTAAATACCTAGTTACACTAATGACCGATTAAACCAAAAAATCAGTATATTAACATTAAATAGTTTTAACCTTATAATAATAATTATACCACAATAGAAGTTAAAATTATAAATAAAAAATAAATAGTTTGTCATTTTGGTTTAAAAAAGAAAATTTGATGGCAGTTTACCGTCAAACATAAGTGTGAATAATAAAGGCAATATGTAAAATATTATAACGTATGAAGTTTTAATTTTTAAATATAATAATTTAAACTCTGAATCTTGATTCCGGTTTATGATTTATGAAAATAGTGTTAGTAGTACTATAGAGAATATAAAAGACACATCTATAAGTTAAAGTATCTATTTTTAACCTATAAAATATATAATAAGTATTTAATAATAAATTAGAAAATTTATTTACCTAGAGTAATAGTATTGTTTCGATGTACCTAAGTCGTATAATGATGTAAAATGTGGCAACACCATTTATTTTTTACTATCTGACATTTATATTAGTTTACAGTTTTACATGCATTAAATGATAATGTTTTATTATTTATTCTTTTTAGACATTTTATAGATTTATGATTTTAATTATTAAATCTAAGTATAAATTATTATTTTTAAGTAGGTAATAAAAAAAAAAAAAACAAAATTGTCGATGGATAATGAAGATCGTCTTTAATTTAAAGAATTGAAATCTATCTTACATTTTCAATTTTTACTAATTATATTCAAAAATTCAGAGCCAAGTAATAAATTAACTGAAAAATTCAAAACAGTCATCCATTTAATCTTAAAACCTCCTTAAAATCTTTTATTCCCCAACGTGGCTGTAAAAAGTTGCTAGTACTCAGTTAAAATCAGCGTCAGTGCCATTTATTTCCGTGATCGTGAAAGACTTTCAGCAAATGCACAATGAATCGATCGCTATAGATAGGTACTATTATAGTCGTTAGATGATACGATTTAGTAATAGTATCTGGCATCTGCTGTATCATAAACTTTTACCTAGGGGCTAGGACCTAAGTATTTCGATGACAAAATAGATAAATATGGTCACAATTTTACTGTTACGCCCATCCTTCACCGAACTCTACTAGTAACAGTAGTAACTAGGTTCTTAATTGATACTTATAACTTATAAGTTATAACTATGTAAATTATTACAATTTTAAAATATTCGTAACTAGCTTTAAAATTTATATTATACCATTAAAAACCTAGTATATTTTATACATCATTTTATCATCTTTAAGTTTGATATTAGCCATACTAGGTCAATGCACTCTAATATTTAAACTAAAAATTGAAACTTTTTGAATGAACGATAAACAAGACTGATGGCTAAATTATAAAAGTTATGTATTATGATAAATGATTGACGTCATTGTGGATTGATTATGATTAACTGTTGCACGATAAATTTGATACAATGAATTGACAGGACACTACAGTATACATAGTTTACATAATACATCATTAACCTATTATGTAATCACCAATTGTTTTATATTATTGCAGTAATAATAATTAATAATAAGTAATAATTGATCATGTTTATTAATATTCCATGTACAGTGAAACCTCTAAACACCGGACACTTTCGTTCGCCGTAATTTTGTCCGTTATTTAGAGATGTCCGTTCTTCAGAGGGCGTGGGGGGGATACTTTGTCGTGTGTCCAGGCTTCGTGAGGTTTATTTTTCACACGATTATTCTATATTTACGATAAAAATTGTCAAAATCAAAATTAAATTGCTATAAAAATGTTTGTTATTTAGAATGTCCGATATTTAGGGGTTTTCCTATATGAAAGTAGTGAAAATGTCCCCATTCCCATAAAAACGTTCGGTATTCGAAGGTGTCCGTTAACGGAGGTTTCACTGTACTATACGCCGTGTTACATTCAAAATGAGTATCTGACAAACATAATATGCTAAATCATGGTTTTATCAACTTTATTATTCACAAGATTGTATGATAAATAATTATATTGCCTGTAGCATTTTATTTTATTAAATGGATTAATTGTATAAATCAAGGGAGACTGTTAAAGAGATTAGATACTGTCTTGGTTTGGTACTTCAAAAAAAAATTCCAACACCACTGGAATTAGTTTGGTGTTAAAATAAATAATAATTTATATATGATATAATTTTACGCGTATTTGATTTTCATTTTTAAATGAATCGAGAATTAAGAAAAAGCATACCTATATAATTGTCTCAAAAAGTAAGTATATTGAAAGATAAGGACGATGATGCATCGATTGTCAAAATACAAAGGTTATTAATTTTTAATGTTAAAAGCACAACAACGATTGGATACACAAATTCAAATTTGATGATAAAACAAATAGATGACATAAACATAATAATATTATAATCATATTATCATTGTATGTAGTGAGTTATTTATTTTTAATACTCTGGTAATATTGATACTCTAAAAGTATTATGTAGGTATAATGTGTGTGACATTAACCATACTTAAAATATTTTGTGACTTTTTTATAAACTCACGTCTTGATTAATTTTAAACTATTTTAAGGCTTTTAGCTCAAATTTACATGATATATAAATTAAAGATAAATGCCCTATAAACGATAAACTTTATGAATATTATTAAACATTATATCATTATAATACTCTTAACGTACTAGTTACAAGATTTAGTTATTGTGAATTATTATCCTCTTTAGACTATTACCATAAATTATATACTTTAAATATTTTAAGAGAGATTGACAAGTTCTATAAAATTATGTTAGTGATTCAACTACATATATGCCATAATAAATAATCATCACTTTAGAGTACATAAGTATACCTATACGAATTACGAATATACGATAACAAGAAATCTGCTGCCGGTCCATATCGGCTGCTGTAATTTGACAACTAATAAGTAGATTCTTACCTTAACCTTTTGTAACTTTTGTATGAAATATCATTAAACAATAATTGCTCGTTGAATTTATACATCAGTCCGCGTTGATGCGAACCTTAATCGATTCAATGATATTAGTGTAGAAGTATTATTTTCATATATTTTTGCAACAATTTAATTGGATTATAAGTTTTTACATAACAATTACACATATTAAACATATTAATTTATTGATACTTTTTTAGAAAAAAGTATTTTCAATGTAATTAATATTTTGGTTATTACACGAATTTATATCATTAAAAAAATAATAATAATAATTAGAAACGATAAACGGGATACAATTGATTATACTTTTATAAATAAAAATATTTTTTGTTTTGTTAATAATTTTATTAATTTTATATATTTATATTTTAAGCTAATTTGAAAATTTAACTAACAGCCAACACTCATCAATTATTAGAAATAATGAAAAGATTTAGTGATTTTAGGCGAATGTTTCTTATGAGATAAGGGCTATAAAAATAAGGAAGGATGTGATTTTTGATATTTAATAGAGCAAAAATACTAAATAGTTAAGTCAAATAAAATGCATAACTACGTTGTATTATAGTATGATGAAACAAAAATGACGTAAAATACATCGAGAATTCGAATTTTTAATACAAAATATGATTACATTTTTTTTGTTGCGAGTGTTCGACTTTTTTTAAATACAGATGAATAATAATGGCAGCGTCATCTATCGCCACTATCATGTTTGACTTGAAATAAATGCATGTTGAAGCGACCACAGCTGTAGCTAATAACAGCTACTAGATAACGCTGTCATAACTGTTTTTTTTCAAATTTAATTTTCTGATTTATAAAATAATTATTAAGTTTAATTAACATGTTTCTTATGAGGAGGACGAAAAGCGATAAAGATACTAGAGACTTACTAGTGTTACTACATAATACCTATATAAACTGCTTATATAAACACGAAAATGTCAAGTATTTACAATTATTTGTTTATAAATTATAATTTATAAGTAACAAAAAAAAATAAAAAAATAAATATTTTTGAATACTAATCTTGACTTTTGAGTAAATTTTTAATAGTGTTCTTTAAATTTTTTTTATACTAATTATTTTGAAAAGTAAGTACTTGAAATTTTTAATTTTGACCTAGAAAAGTACTAATTAATTTCACTTTCTTACCTTTAATATATTTAAATTGAAAATTAAAGCATTTTTTCTATTTCAAATCGTGTAGACATATACAGAGATATAATTATATAACACATCATTGTAAATTAATTTATTCAACGCCCCACTCAGAATTTAAAATATTTAATTGTTATTAAAAATATACTAGCTAAATAGTAAATAATAATTTAAAATCATTAGAAATCTTCACTATTCAATAAATTATTTATTTATAGTTGATACAAATGTATCGTGCTCATAGAAAAATATAAACAACAATGATAATTTTATATCTAGTCTTTTGTCATGTTTATAAATTATTATGTATTGAATAATAAATTGTTTATTATTTAATGAAATATTTAATATGTATTTACTACATTACTACATGATATAATATAATATTTATATTTTATGTACAATGAAGTGTGTACTGTGTATCGTACTTATAAATTAAAAAGATAATACAATCACCTTCATTTTTCTAATAAAACCCGCCAAAATTATTCATGGTAAACATGGTTTGTTGTGTAAGACCGTGGTCTATTTCCACTATCTTACAGACGCGCAGAGCCAGTGATAAGCACTTGTCCGAAAAATGATATGAACACCATAGAGTTACTCTATGCTCCATGTACTGAGACTACAATTATGTGTTCATTTTTATCTCGTACGTAATTTGTTGGCACCACTGTAATTTTTAACAGTGGTATAATATGTTTGGTCGTCAGACTGAATGATTCGATAACCCCCTCCTTAAAACTGGTATGCTCTGAAGCGGTTTATGCTCTTGCCGGAGAACTCTGGTTACATGTTATAATCTTTTTTGCTCGTGCTTGTTGACGACAACATTACCAAAATGGTGAGTACACTATTTTATTTTCGATTTTTATCCATTCTGATCGCAATGGGGTCCGTCCAGAACAAAAAAATGTTGGACGCGATCGCTACTAAACGCGTCCGTCTACTGAAATCTGACGGCACCTCGTTCGTTGACGTACCTTTCGCAGTGGGTTTAGTCGTTAATTGACGATTAATATTTTTCAGTCTTTGGTCATCCCAGAAAAATTCCAGCACATCTTGCGTATCCTCAGCACCAATATCGATGGCAAACGTAAAGTTATGTTCGCCATGACCGCCATCAAGGGTATTGGTAGGCGGTTTTCCAACATTGTGTTGAAAAAGGCCGATGTCGACCTCAACAAAAGAGCTGGAGAATGCACCGACGAAGAGGTTTGTATGATTTGTTATTTAGTTACATTTGTCAG